AAATATTCTATGATTTAAAAGCAAACGATGTGAGTTTGTCATTCAGTTTTAATAATTATGCAATTGTTATAGATATTGTAAATAAGTACTAATAAAGCTTACAACCCGTAGTAGCTCGGTGGCGTAGTGGATAAGCGCCGCGGCCCGCGATCGTAGTCGTTAAGCAACTTTCGCAAGGGTCGGTCACTGGATGGGTGACCAAAAAATTATTATCTCGAACTACTCCGTGCTCCGGAAGGCACGTTAAGCCGTTGGTCCCGGCTGCATTTGCAGTCGTTAATACTCTCCAATCCGCATTGGGCCAGCGTGGAGGGTCATGGCCCATCCTCCTTAAACATCCATAAGGAAGGCCTGAGCCCCTGCAGTGGGGACGTAAAAGGGCTGGTGATGTGAAAGCTTACAACGCACTGCATTTGTTTTAATGAGGAAGTATTTAAAAAAAAACATTAGTTCTCGAAATCAAACTAGCTGTCACTATAGCACTTTCTTGATTTTTTTAATGACAATTTCTTCCGGTTTTGTTTCATGTAAAAAAAGTTGATTAGTTTTCAAAACTCAATAAACAACTCATATTCTATTTGTACTTATTCGTATTTGTATTGATATGTATGTTTCGAATTTTGAAAATTTCAGTTTTTCAATATGTTTGTTTTTCAAAGGAACGGAAATGACTATCTATGCGCCAATCATTTCCTGCAAAAATCAACTGTTGTTAGAGTCGCCATCAAGTGGAAATGCTGTTTAAGTGCTTTTATTTTTTTTTTCTTAAATACTTCCTCATTCACTAGCAGTTTCTTGGTATAACCTTCGTTACTTGATATGATCGTTGCTACGGTATAATCAAATGCAACAAACCCTCTTAGTCTTGTTGTTCTGATTATGTAATTAAAAAAATGTTGTTTTTAATCATGCAAAATTACATAGTTTGGTCATTTGGTTTGTAATGAAATATTAGTATGACCTACCTATGCTCCATTCATTATAGCATTAGACAGAAGTGAAATAAGGTTGTTTTTATGGTATACTTTATGACAAAATATCAATAATCATGTTACTCTTAAGACTGACGGCTAATTTGTCACTATAACTCAAGGAAGTTTTTCCAATGTCTTCATCAATAGTCTAACTAATTACACTTACAATTAGAATTTATTAAAACAACAGACAGATACTTTCAGTTTTAGTTCCATTTTGGCTTGGAAGTAAAAGATGAATTTATAAAATGCTGGCCTCATCTCAACCCTGAGGTATCTTAAAAAATTGAAAATTGCCTAGCTCTTTCAGACTAACGTTCAAAGTTTCAACAAAACTAATATAAATATATATTTTTTAAATTTATCTTGAAAATAAAATGTTCTGCACTGCTGCTTCTATGACCCTCTTTTTTCTAATGTTATAATAATGAATGGAGTATACCTAATATGAGTACTAGATAAAGTATTTTAATTAGTATTTGTATGTTACGATAGTATAGCCAATGGCTTATCAACTATACCAAACGGTCAAATTTCTTCACTTGATTTTAAACATAATACATTGAAGGAAGAGGGCTAAATCCGTTACGGCAATTTGACGTAAAGTGTTTGTAGTGCAGTGCAGTCGTGTGTATTATACCAGAAACTACGTTATTAATGGTACTGTGGTATTATAACCAAGTATGATTCACATGACATTCCCAGGTACATATGAATAGTAGTAGTAGTAGTTCGTACATGGGACAGGCCAAAGAACTGGGCCTTACGCCAAATCTTGGGTTACCATATGAATAAGCAGGCCCGGATTCATAGATGATACATAAATTTTAACTGAAATTCAAATCGACTAAAATACATTAACACGCTGAAGGCAAAATGCAAAATGCGTGTTCATTAATGCGTTATTTATTAACGCGCTAAGTATATAATAAAAAGGGTGCGCGACAAACGCATTAAATGAAGTAGTACACTAAATCTCGTAGCACGTTATTTATTAGATGTCGATATTTGAATCGAGCGCGTGCTGTAGTAAACAATAATTTATTTATATTTTATTCTAATAAAAAAGTGAAACAAAAAAGTAAATAAACTGAGTATTATCTACACGTACTAAAATTTATTAACATTATAATTAATAATCATAATAATTAATAATGTAAAAAATATATATGTATTTAAATATATATTTTTTTAACAATTTTTTTTTACTTAACATAAATTTTTATTTTACTCATCACGAATTTCCCGATGATCATCGAAGCGGGGCCCCCAAAGCACGTCGCCTATTATCATGTTTTTTGAAGTATACTATATTTTTCTTTTATTTTATTTTGAAATATGTCTGTCTTATCATAGCCTATGAACAGATATATAAAGATGGTTCTTTGTTTTTGCAAAAAGGTGTTATATAATGATGATTTTAACTTAACCTAACACTGGCGCTCGGGGTAAGTGCCCACACGTGGAGAATGGTCCATTCTCCCTATTTTATACGAACTCAGTGTTACAATTGTTTTAGTAAGTAGTCTAAAATTACGCAAATTGCGCACTATGCATTTATTTATCAAAAATCTTCTGTTTAATTATAATATATTCTATATAAATAATATTTTAAAATTATGCGGCGTTTAAAATAAACTGTATTAAAACAATTGCTAAACTGACTAATTTAGACTATTAATAGGGCCTTGGATAAATTTCAACCATGCAACAATAGACTTGATAAGCCTGATTGCCTTTTTCGTTAAGGCATATGCAAATATAATCCATTATTTTATGATGATGATCAATAAAGAAGTACATAAATAAATTTGTTTAAATTTTATTTTACATACTTGGTTCCCTTACTCTCGAACGCAATCTCGACAAATCAACATTATAATTGTGCAGTTTCGTAGCTACTCTTGACTGGGTACTGCGATTTGGGTATTGATAGTTGCGAATTAGCCGTGACGTCACGGAGGAATAAACATGCGTGTTTAAGCGGTGTTATAGATAAATATAACAAGATTCCATTAGGTAATACATTCGTTAAAATATTTTCTTTAGCGGTGCGTATATACCTACCTACTACAGTATAATAACGACTATCTACTAAGTTTCAAGTTATTAATCGACTTGACATGCGAACTTCCTATCACTACTTTATAAAGTATATTAAATAAAGTATTTTAACTCTGATAATGTTGGGCAGGTATTATATTAATCAAAGACTATTTTTAATCAGCGCGGTCGTTTTTGAGTTTATCCTTTACAATAAAAATCCAATCTTTTCCTTTTTATAATAAAGGTATAGATATGTACTTTTTCGCAATTAAATATCCGTTAGTAATCGATTGCTTGAAACACATTATTAATTTTATTGCTCTTATATACTAGATATTATAACGACATAACCTCAAAATCTCTGTTAAAAATTCAGATATTCTTAAACTCCGGCATAATTTTAAAATGTTTTTTTTTTTCCTACTCATTATAGTAATAATTCTGTATCATTTTCCGTTGGTTTCAACAATGTGCATGACGCTAAAATAGCCGAACTCTCATAGTAAATTGCCCATTCTCCTTTAAATGACCAAGCTTTGCTCGTTATTTTTTTTTGTAAATGAAATTTAGCTGATCAATTTTCCGTTACCCGAAACCCCGTCATACTAAATTTCATGAAAATAGTTGGACCGTTTCTGAAATTAGAAAGAAACATAGTTTAAGTGTCATTTATTTACATTTTCCTTAACAATAAATAATCATTAACTATTTTATATCACACTAATTACGACGACGCCTCAGTCTTATCAGTTTCTTGTAGAACGTTCTTTTCCTCTAGTTTTTCTTTTACAGGTTCCTCAGGAACAGATTCTTCGATATTTACTACTTTCTCTGGTTCAATCTTGGCAGCTACCCCGCTGCTGTCGTTAGTATTTCCTGAAATACATAAAAAAATTAGCGTCTTCATAGATTACATACATGAACAATATCTTCTAATAGGAATATTGTTTTAGGTATTAAATAATTAGATTCTTAGGAAACATTAATTAGTAATTGGTTGGTGTAATATTAACTACAATAAAAAACATGAAGCTGATATACTTTGAAACAGTAAATTTAAATTATTCTAAAGTGCCTGTTTCACAATTCGTCGATTTTAACGTATAAATGCCCATAAGTACATTTGCTCTAGACGGGATTCGACCATATCACAATCCGTTATTATCAATTAACCAATGAGTCATAGAAATGAAGTTTACATTGTCTCTAACCTACCAATAGCGGTCTTAGAGTTTATGAAGTAAATTTAATTATATATTTAATTTGATTTGTTAGAAATAATAACTTTAATTTGCGTAATTTAGCCGGACTTTGTGCTTTATCAAACTGGACATTTGCAATTGGTTAATTGTGTACAAATATATAAATATTTGACGGGACAGGATCGATAAGAATTAAATGTGTTTATTGGTCTAATTATTCATAACAAGAAGCCAATTATGTCTAGTTGCCGATCAAACGGCAGCCTAATGCCAGAATTTCGTCTATTTTCGAAAATTAATGATACAACGAAAATATGAGCTGAAACTCTCTCTGATTTACAGATTATGTTCACAGATATGATTTTAACAAAACTATAAAAAACAAAACGAAATTTATTCGAATTTCGTTCGTGGGCAAACATAGTAGGCTAATGTTTAAGAGTGCTCATAAAGGTGAAGAAATGAACAAAACAAATACAGGCCAGTCAAACAAACAATAGAAACAGGTGATGCCGTAGGTAGCTTTGCGTGAATTAAAACTTAAAATTACAAATAACGTTGCGACGTTGAAACACTATAATAATTATGAGAAGAAATTTAATTACCTAAGGGGAAGTTGAGAGAAATTTTGGGAATTCATAGTTTAAAGCAAATAGAGGCCTTATATATATTGTTTACTCTTCATCAAAAATAACAGTTTATTCGGTCATTTTTGTTCACACTAAATGAATTAGAAATAAGCGTTTCTTGCTAAGTCGCTCTCTTAAAGCGTCACTGAAGTCCTCCCTTACTTTTCTGATTAGTACTTATAGAATATACTCTCTAAGTTCTGAATATGTAGTAGAATGGTTGCGTGATCGATAGTACTAACAATCTACTTGTGTTTGACTTACTAACATAATTCTATTGGTTAGTTAATTAAAACATTGTGTAACGTAACGGATCGTCAGTTATTTATGTTATCCATAATTATTATGCCTAATTTTAGTTAACTTGTGGAAGTGTGTTATTGATAATACATACAAAACATACACACATACAAATAAGTTATAAATTTATACTAATATTATAAAGAAGTAAAGTATTTAACTACATTTGTTTGTAGGGAGTAATCTTTGGAAATGCCGATCTGATGATGAAACTTCTTTCACCTACGCGAAGCTACTTCATAGGCGGGTGAAAAGGTATAATTTACTCTATATTAAGAACCACTTTTTGAGATTGTTAATACCTATATAAATAATATACTTAAGTTTTTATTTGATATTTGAAAGTAGGTGTGAAGATACAAATAATACTCATACACGTATTATTTGTGTCTCCATATTTTTTTACTGATAGTACGATTCACTATAACTACACATGTACCATGTTTTATTTGCTAGTATGATTGTCTCCGAAAATAATTACACCTTAATATTGATTTTTTAAATTTGTGAATATTTTCAAACTCATATCTCGCAGTGAATGCGGCTTCACTCTTAAATAAATTAATCTTTGCTTTGAGATAAAAGCACGAGTCTTTACTGTGAAACACGAATAACACATATTATTACAAAGTAAGTACGAGCAGAACCAGAAAGTTTATATATGCATTTTAAAAGCTACCACCATCCAACACACACAAAGCACACATTCCCGTAGTCCACCGGGATACCTGTATGTTGGTGCCTAAAGTGTTGATGGCTCCATTCACCGTGGAGCCCACGGTGGCAGCGGTTCCATTGATAGCAGCCGCGATAGTACCTATCAGACTGTTGACAAAATTGCTCCAAGCCGTCACTGTTGCTATGGAAACACGTTGGGTAAATGGATATAATGAGCTATACATAAATATATTAAATAATGCGTACTAAAATAAAATGTTAGTATCTATTGAAAAAAAAAAAACAAAATAAGGAAAAATAAAATTATGTGTTATTGTAAGGAAGGTAGGAATATGTAAATAGTGGTTACCTGACGCGCCATGGTGCCCTTTGCCTTGAGTGTCATCACTCTTCACAGCCTGCTCCCCGACGACCGCGTCTCTGGGTTTCTCAGGATTACCACCGTTAATAGAAGACTGCAGTCTTTGCACGGCACCCGAGATGCCTTGGACGATCGGATTGTTCTGGATAATATTCTTAATCGGCCCATTATTGTTTGGGACTGCTTGTTGTTCAGTCGCTTTAGCCGGCTGTTGCTGATCTGCGTCAGGTTTGCTTTCTGATGATGCCGCAGGAACGACATTACTACCTTCCGGTGTCGGTGGAGCGGCGGCTGCTGGCTTTTCAGGCTTAGGCTGTTGAGCTGCTGGCTTTTCAGGCTGAGGCTGTTGAGCTGCTGGCTTATTGGGCTGTATCAAATTGACGACCCCTTGTACGAAGGGGTTGTTTTGAATCGCTTGCGCAATAGGCCCACTCGGACCGGACGGTGCTTGTCCAACTTGGTCTGACGGACTTGCTTGATTTTGGCCCGGGTTCAGAATGTTCTGAATTGAGGACTGGATGCCTTGCCATATTGTAGGTTTCTGTGTTACTGGTTCGTCAGATTGAGCTCCAGGGGCAGCAGTAGATCCTCCTTGACTAAAAATATTCTGGATACCATTATTCAAGCCTTGGAAGATGCCACCGTTGGCTGCGGTGTTATTTGGATTATTTTGACCTACATAGCTTTGAATAGCCTGTGTAACATTGCTGAATCCTTGTGAAACAGTTTGTTGGAAGAGTTGCAAATATTGTAGGAAGAGATTGTTGGGAGGAGGAGTTGGTTTTTCGTCATCTCTTAGACTTGCGAAAATTTGCACTCCTTCAGACAGAGCTTTTACACCTATCTTGAAGTTGTCCTCCAAAGACTTTAAATTATTTTCAACATTGTCGAACTCAGGCTTATTTTTATTATCCGATTGAACTATATTCGCAGATCCCTGATTATTCAAATACGATTGAAGAGTTTCATTCAGTTTATTAATTTGATTGGTAAAGCTCTGTTGGAGACCTTGAATGTTTTGTTGAATGGAATTAAGCTGCTCATTGTTGGCGATCCAGTCCTGAAGTCCTTGAGTTACTCCTTGGAAACCTTGTTTTAGAGCGGACTGCGTATCACTTATAGTTTGTTTTACTGTAGAGACGATTTGTTGTTCATGGCTGTAGCTCACTGGACTCTGAGTGTCGTGTTCCTGACGCTGTGGTTCGCCGGGATGTTCCAAGTCTACTTCTACTCTCTTCACATCGGAAGTGTCATCATCGGCGTTCTCAACGATAACTTTTACGGGAATGCTATCTATAGCTTTCACGCGGAGGTTATTTTCAACATCCTTGATAGTGTTAGCCGAATCTAAGAGTTCTTGTTCGCTGGAAACGTTATCTAGAGGTGATGCTTCCTTGGGTGGTTCTTCAGGTAGTTTTTTCTGGAGTTCAGGGGCTGTAGGGTTTTGAATGGTAGCTGCGCGGGCGTGTACCGCGAGCAGGAGGACGATGTACGCGTGCGGCCTCATGACGTGTGGGCGCGGAGTGCTGCCCAGACGGGTGGGGTTTCACTTTTATATGAACCAGCTAACGGTCCACCCGGCACGTACGTGTTTACGTTTACTGACCGCCCGCTCGACAAACGTCTTCTCGTTATTTATATATATTAACTGAACGACTATATAGGTATATTCTGATAATGGAGTGTAATTGTTATTTAAAATCGTTTAGGGATCCAAACTTTATTTTTCATACAATAAGTTTGTTTTACTGCGATATTGTTTGTTTATTTCTACGAGTATGAAGTGATCATTAATAATCGAACAATTATTTAACTTTTCTAGATGACTTTATCTTTTTTTTATTATTTCTATTATTTTCATTCCCTTTTTACTTGTAATGTTACCAATTGACACGAACAGGACCTGTCTTAGAACAACGGTAAAATAGGGAAATAAATTTCCATGGCCTTTAAATCAATTTAAAAAAAAAGAATACGTTTATAATTTTCAATTGCTTCTTCCTTTATTGCAAAGCATAGGCTTAAAGGATTTTCAGATTGATCCATTTTCAGATTTTCGAGAAAGGATCACGCAGGCGAACCCGCAATCGGAAAAATAGTAGGTTATATTTTAAACAATACTAGCTCTCCGCGGCTTTGTTGCCCTGGACTTAGAATTATCCACATTCCAAATTTCATCGAAACTCGTCACAAAAATCGAAATACACAAACTTCCGCCTTTATAATTGTAGTAAGAAGTAAGATAAGTTATAACGTAATTTGTGAGGCAAATATACTCGTAAATTTATATTGATGTTTTTTAACGATATTTATTTGTAAACTTTATTATTTGCGAGTGACATAACTATTTAGAATCTACTTTCGTTTTTTGACTCTGGAGGCGGTTTATCTGGCCTATGCTAATTCTGCAGGGTCAACAGTTGAGAAGAAAGCTTATTGTTAGAAATGAAAGTCCCCTCTAACTCATTGACAACTGAAATTAAGATGCCATAATGTTCGAAACTAGTTTTTCTTTGTCATAACTACAAACGACAATTACTGTAAAAACCATGTTAAATGTGAACTAAATGCATATTTTTGATTTATTTGTGTTAAGTAGAAATGCTAATTGGGCTTGTACTGGTCCATTTAACTGCTTTTGTGTTATCTGAATAGAACTTGTTTTTATTAATAATATACTTATTTTTATAAATTATTTCGTAAATAATGCTTAAAGTATAAAAACAAAACACTTTGGTTTTATATTCTAAAGATTGGAATTATTTTTAGCAAACTAAAAGTAAAATAAATAACAATATACAATATATAAGATCGTAACGTTTTTTAAGGCAGTAATATTGTTAATTGTTGTTTTTAAAATAATAATATATACGTTATAAACGCAAACACTATTTGAAATTGAAATGTTTATTATAAAAAATATTATTACCAAAATCAGAACAAAAGTCATCTTTTAAAAGTCAAAACGAATGAAAGTTATTCGCGTAACAATGAATAATGTTATGTTCCTGTATTAGACATCAACGCGTTCGATTAATATTGATTAAACTATAGCGATTACTTTAAGTTTTTAAAGCTTTATAAACACGAATTACAATAAATTACGACAAGATTATGTCCAAATGTATATTACATTAGAAACTCTAAAGAGAAATCCTTAATTAATAATTATTTTTAATTTATTTTTCTCTTTTTAGGGTTCCGTAGTAAACAAGGAACTCTGTCCGTCCGTTAGCGGTTTAGCTCAAAAACTATTGGTACTAGAATGTTGATATTTGGCATCAGTATACACGTTTATTACGCCAAAAAGAAGTAAAATTGAAGTTGACAAAAATATTTTCAGCGTACATGTAACGATGATATATTTTTCGTTATCCCCATAGTGTGGGACTTCATTTGTAGGTCTTTCAAAAAATTTAAGGTATGGGAAAGCCGTTTTTCGATTTAGTAAGCAGTTTGTTATTTATATATAAATTGGCTTTACAAGTTTACGAGTATTAGTCGACAAATTTTATTTGATTCGATAATTTCAAACAACTCTTAACGTGTTTTTTTACTTTTCCTAACGAATATTGGTAGATAACCCTTCGTGTCACAAATTTATTAAAAAAACGAAATATTTGATTGTCTGCTGATTTATCAGTCCGCTGAGATCGTAAAATGTGAGTGATCAAATTATGCTGTCTTTTCTCATTTTATACTTATGTAGTTGTAATTATTATTATTTGAACCTGATATTTATGACATAAATATCATTGGTTAATTGTTGCTTGGAAGTAATTGGTTATTAGCGATAGTCTGTCAATTGTACTAAACTTTGTTTTTCTTTGTATTATGTCCTTATCCTATGTTTCATGATGTTAGTACAATAAAGAATAATTCGGTTGATTTATTTTAAAGTTTACATTTTTTTCTATAAAAAATAATTTAGGAAAATCTCCCAATATTAGAGATAATATGCCAAATTTGGTTACTTTGTTTACTGTTATTTCTCTACAGATTGCCTTATTATATTACTAACAACATACATTAGTGAAAGTAACACAATTCGACGAGAAAAATTACAAAATAAAAATCAACTAACAAAACAACTTAAAAGCTTCCTTTGTCATGAGTTTTTGCTTCATAAATTGGAACATTCTATTTATATTCTCCATGCTTTTGCTACTAGAACATCGTGAATGACCATTACGAGTTTGCAATAAGTAAGTGACATGTTTAAATACGTTATTTGGGACATTTCATGAGGTACCACTATACGATTAAACTACATTCAAATTAGCTTATTACAAGCATTTTTAAATCGTCAATATTTGTTTCTCCTACCACTACTTCATGGCATCAAAGTTTACGATTATCGTTTCATGGAAACATATGAACCAAACGTATGTGCATGATTTATTTTCCTTGTAAGATGCAATGGACTTCAAGTAGAGAGTATAATGGCAACAATGCAATTAGTTGTGATTTTATTGAGATGTGCTCGTTACATTTACATACATTAGTAGAATTGGCTTACTAGTAGATGTTAAAGTATCAACTAGTTTACATTAGAATGTTGTAGCAGCTTACAACATTCTAATGTAAAGTTTAAATATCAGTATACTATACTATATTCTGAACGAAGTTTCGTCGACTTACAGTTAATGAAGAGACAACCAGATTTAGTTGGCAATAAAAATTAATTCAACAGACATATTATACAAATATTTATGATACGATCGCAATCAAGTGTGTATCTAGTGGATGTAAACACGTGATAACGGCTCGCTTGTCTCTCCAAACACTCAGTACCGTTAAGTTTTCGATTTGATGTGACAAAATCTGATGCTGTTAGATACGATCCGTGAAAATTATTGAAATTTATCACTCCAAATCAATAACCACATACACATGTAGGCACTCGTTGATTTACCTGCACGTTTTATGTTATATTTATTTATTTGACTCAGAAATCTGGTTACAATGCAGATTAATACAATTTATTTCATTTAGTGCTTTGCAAACGAATTCAACAACTATGAAAGGTAATAATGGAAAGGCAATAAATAAATAAATCTCGAGAAAGCCCTAGCTTATTTTGAAGTTCACGATTCTACATCATTCATAACATAAATACATTTAAAAAACAGTCTACTTGATTGCTTATAAAAAAGTAAACGACGTATCACAGGAGTACAGCCAGAACGTTCCAAACCTTTCAATGTGTTTTTTAATGTAAATAATGCAAGTAGTAGAGTTAAATTTATTGCAAGCAGTTGCCCGTTTATTAAGTATACCGTTACGCTGCTGATTGGTTATATATTTTGGTCAAGTTTTTTTTAGTGACTTTGCTTTTTATGCGATGAGCGCCGGCGCCAAACGTCGAAAGTCCGGTCACGGGGTACTATTCTTAAAATCTGTATCTCGGGGACTTAATAATCTGTGTTCTGTTTTACAACGTTTAAAATATGAATATGTGCTTCATGCACGCAACATTCATAATTATTTTTGTTTATGACACAATCAAATAAGTAAACTACGATTTTGATTTCGAGTCAGTAACATTTACAAGTGTCCCTTTGTGTCCCAAGTGTAATTTACTGATAGACCCTGTACTAAAGTATTAAGGTCAATCTGTCTACATAAATGATTTGTAAATTACATTTTCTCATACTGATTCGAATTTAAAGTTGTAGCTTAGGCGGTAAACCGAACGAAAAACAGATCTATGGCACCGTCCAACACTTGTTAAAGTGATAGGATAGATAACAAAACATTGCATGATATATAGAATGTCTATTTTGAGAGTAAAACCCCACTACCGACACCATTATCGATGTATCATATAGTATTTCTTTCAGTGTGCCGTAGTTGCATCTCTATCTAGCACTTTATTACATTACACAAACGTACATTCATAATTATTTATCTGTGTCCTGAAAAAAGTTTCCAACATTAAAGCATTACCTAATACTTTTTGAACAACCTTTTTACATTTTAAAGTAGTTTTAATTTGATTGAACTCCCTTTGCTATAACAACAAATAATATATCCAAGCAGGCATCTACTCCCTCATACAATTGTTTTGTCTAATTAATTTTCTTGAGGACATGAATTACTAAGCATAACAATTACCATACCAAATTTACTAATAATTTATCAATCTTAGCATCAGCATCCTTCATTATTAAAAAGTTGATACAGTCCGCGTTTTGTATCAGGCATGCATTGGTCAGTAAATAAAAACTCGCATCAGTAACAACCCTGGTTCTAATCTACATATAATAAAAACGTTAATCGATGTCTGTACATTGAAGACATATAAATAAATCCATTATGAGGGGCATTTATAAACGAATTGAACACAATACGATGATTTAAAAAAATGTCTATGCCTATGTGCACACTAATCTCAGAAACTGGTAAAAAGGCTAATGACTGAACCGATTTCAATGCAAAAGCAAATGTTTTTACTATTGTATTTTGGTAATCTTCCATTAGCATTTAGCGTATGTTTTATTTATCAATTCGAAGTATCGCGTTCGCCAAAATTGCTATAAAATTCCTGCTTTATTAAATTTTAGTCTTTAATGTATCGATCTTCATCATTAGCTCTTTTAT